GAAAACTACAGATCTAATTTCCTGCTTTAAATTGTGTAGGATAATAGGGTTCCTCTCTAATATTAGTCATGAATAATAATGAAAAATCTTTCCATTGCTATAGTCTAGAAAAAAATGGATTGATAATTAACAATGAATCATTTCTCAGATCACTTTATTTCCTGGGTTAATGGTTCGGTACTCAAAAAGAATGCCACATGGTACAACTCAAAAGATATTAACAAATTTTCCCCCCTAAATTCTCAAATTTGCCACAGATAAACATTCTTTTTATTTATTTATTTATTTATTTATTGTGTATACAATGTTCTGTCTGTATGCCTGCAGGCCAGGAGAGGGCGCCAGACCTCATTACAGATGGTTGTGAGCCACCGTGTGGTTGCTGGGAATTGAACTCAGGACCTTTGGAAGAGCAGGCAATGCTCTTAACCACTGAGCCATCTCTCCAGCCCCACAGATAAACATTCTTGCTCTCTTAATACAGAAGTTTCGAACGTCTTTTAACACAAAACCTGCTTCCTCCTATCACCCAACCCCATTAGGCACCATCCTCCAGCTTTTATGCTATATTCTAGGATTCTTTTTATTTTATTTTATTTTTATTATTGTTTTTCAAAACAGGGTTTCTTTGTATAGCTTCGGAGCCTGCCTTGGAACTCACTCTGTAGACCAGGTTGGCCTCGAACTCAAAGAGATCCACCTGCCTCTGCCTCCCGAGTGCTGGGATTAAAGGTTTGCGCCATCACCACCTGGTGGATTTTTTTAATCACTAATTGAAATTTTAAATTTAATCAATCGAAGCAACATTCTTCTTTGACTATGACAAAAAGTACTCTGTCCTACATGCCGGCACTGTAAAAGCTCTCATACAATCCCTGGAAGAAGAACAAAGTCTTTGCACATATTAAGTACAGAGGACGGATTTCCTTCCCAGAACAGAGACAGATGAATATACCAACACCAAAGTTAAAGTTATGCCCTGTGGACAGGGCACAGGAGCAATCCAGCCTGAGCAATAAGAACTCTGGGCTTGGGGGCTGGAGAGATGGCTCAGTGGTTAAGAGCATTGCCTGCTCTTCCAATGGTCCTGAGTTCAATTCCCGACAAACACATGGTGGCTCACAACCATCTGTAATGAGGTCTAGTGCCCTCTTCTGGCCTGTAGATATACACACAGACAGAATAGTGTATACATAATAAATAAATAAATAAATAAACAAACAAACAAATAAATAAATGTTTAAAAAAAAAGAACTCTGGGCTACAGGTAACACAAAAAGTCCTTAATCATAATAGATGGGAATAGGTTGGGTTTTGAAATGAAACAGTAATTGGTACAATGCAATCTTCTATTTGTTAAATCAGACATCAAGGTTCAGAGTAAGCAAAATGATCCAATGACACTATCAATTCTCTCTTTTTAACTAATTATTTGTATGTGTGTGTATGTATGTGTGTGGGCGGGTACAAGCACACCACAGCAAATGGGTGGACATTGGAGGACAACTTGCAGAAGTTGATTGTCTCTTTCCACCATGTGGGTTCTGGTGAGCTCAAGTCTTAAACTTGATGACCAGCACCCTTATCCACTGAGCCATCTTATAGATATAAATTCTTTAAAACAAAGGTTACTACCAGTAATTTGCATGTCAGAACAGTTGAAATTTATAGATTTAATACCAGTTAACATAGGGGGGAAACTGTATATTTCAGTGTACCAAAAGAAAAGAATCATATAAATATTATATGCAAACCACCATAAAGCAATCAGAAGCACTGGCTACAACACACAACTGGTGAAGCTCAAAAGGCACAAGAACACTGACAGATGCTGAGGGATAGGAGAAAACAAAACAATAAAGCATCAAAGCCATGGGATGAGCATTCTGTCAGCCGCTAGCTCACAAATAACAACATGGAGACTTATTAATTAGGAAAGCATAGTCATTAGCGTAGGCTGGTCCCACTAGCTCTTATAAACTTAAAATAATCTGTTTATATTAATCTACATTCTATCACGTAGCACTACTGCTCTTCCATCTTGCATTTCCTGTTTCCCCTGTGTCTCCTGGCATCTCCCAAGCACCTAGATTTCTCCTCTTCTTTCTCTCCCCAGAAATTCCACCTATACCTCCTGCCTAGCTATTGGCTGTTCAACTTTCTATTACACCAACCACAGCAATACTCATTCACAAAATGTACAAATATCTCACAACAGGAGGTGATGCAAGGTAAAATTCTGTATCCAAAGTGCCTAAGTCACTATATTTTCTAACTTAAAGAAAATAAATCTGGTCAGACTAAGTAGTAACACCATGAGGAAAATACTAAAATTGTAAAATATCCTCAGAATTATAAAATCCTAAAGTAGAGCACTTGACACCCTAAGTACATCAACCCATCTATCATAAGCATCTTATCTGAAGACTCAACATATTTCCTCAAGTCAAAAAGATTAAAAAGCAAATTCCCTTCTACTCAGATATCTTTGAGTATGTACCATAAAGCCTGAAGGCTAGTTCCCCTCTCTTTGGTTTATAAAATACTAATTTATAGTCAAATTACAATCTGTCACTCTGAGAAAGAAAATACAAGACTATGTTGGTTCTCCAGAGCCCCTCCCAGGTAAAACACTGTACAAAGCCAAACACAGTAGTTTACACCTGCAATCCAGCACTGAAGAGCTGAGGAAGGAGATTTTTAAAGTGTAAGACTTCCATCTCAAATAAATAAATAGTACAGTAAAGTCCCGACCAGGCAAGGCATTTTTGAGTTTCCAATTTCAGGAGATTCTTCTTCCCAGGATCTCTCCAAGATTATTATTTCTTTAGCAAGCATCGGCCTAATGCCATGAATCAGACATTACTTGAACTTACTGACAAAGCAGACGATGTGACCATTTATAAAATCAGGTTAAATGCGCTCTCTCTCTCTCTCTCTCTCTCTCTCTCTCTCTCTCTCTCTCTCTCTCTCTCTCTCTCTCTCTCTCGTTGTTGCTGTTTTGTTTTGTTTTGAGACAGGGTTTCTCTGTGGTTTTGGAGCCTGTCCTGTAGACCAGCCTGGCCTCAAACTCAGAGATCCACCTGCCTCTGCCTCCCGAGTGCTGGGATTAAAAGCATGCACCACCACTGCCCAACCAATAATTTATTTTTTGACAATTTCACACATGCATATAATTAATTTTGATTTATACACCCCATTATTTATACTGTTTTGTTACAAGTTATAGTGGTTTATATTAAGTATAGTTTATATTAAATATAGTCTACGACCCAAATGACAGAAAATTCAGGACTCATTCAACTCTTCCCAGGATCTTGTAATGAAAGATAGGCCAGAACTTGGAATTAGATGTAGAAGAACCACAACCAAGTTCAAAGCCAGCCTAGTAACAGAGTAAATTCAAGACCAGCCAGGTAAACATAAAATAACAGCCTGTCTCAAAAACAAAACAAAAAGACAAAATGGTTCCACAACAATATCAAGTAAAGATTGGCAATGTAGCTCTTGCCTGGCAAGCATAGAGCCCAGTATCAGATAAACTGGGTTTCATAGTGCATGCCTGTAATCCCAGCACACATAGGAGGTAGAATCAAGATCATCACCCTTAGCTAAGTAGGGAGTTCAAGACCAGGGCTAATTTTGACAACATAAGAACCTACCTAAAAAATTTTTTAGTTAACTATTTTTTTAATATTTATTTATTATGTGTACATCATTCCTTCCATGTGTGCCCGCAAGCCAGAAGGGGGCGCCAAGTCTCATTATAGATGGCTGTGAGCCACCATGTGGTTGCTGGGAATTAAACTTGGGACCTCTGGAAGAGCAGTCAGTGCTCTTAACCACTGAGCCATCTCTCCAGCCCCCTTTGTTAACTATTGCATATAATCAATTTAAATTAGAAAATTCAAGAGTATTTGATGGGGAAACATTGTTAGTCAATTATCTTTTTAAGAGGTGGATCCAAGTTAAGGCATGGCTTTCTGGGGAAGGAGTAAAACTGGTGCACGGCCCAGATGCACTGTCTGTCTGTCTGTCTGTCTGTCTGTCTGTCTGTCTCTCTCTCTCTCTCTCTCTCTCTCTCTCTCTCTCTGTGTGTGTGTGTGTGTGTGTGTGTGTGTGTGTGTGTGTGTGTGGTTCCCTCACAGCACAGCTGAGCTTGGACTTCTTGTTCCTGTTTCGTGAGTTTCCCCTTATCCTTTAAAGTTTTATCCTTTAGCTAGCCTGGTATTTCCCAAATCGAGCTAATTTCTACAAGTATTCAGCTCACAATTTCTACTTTAAGCTAAAAGTCAACTGATATACCTAGGCAGCCGTGACAAACTAATAATTCAGCCTTCAGGCTAGGAATGGTGGCACACGCCTTTAATCCCAGCACTTGGGAGGCAGAGGAAGCTGGATCTCTGAGTTTAAAGCCAACCTGGTCTGAGTGAGTTCCAGGACAGCCAGGTATACACAGAGAAACACGGTCTCTAAAAACCAAAAGGAAAAAGAAAAAAATAATAATTCAACCTTCAAAGACAAAATAATGACTGACCCTGGAATTGTACTCTGAACTCAGATGGAAGTTACAGATTTACTCAAACACAACTGAACCAAAAAACCACAGGAGAACTACATGTTGGTCAAAGATACACACCAACCAAAGACTATTGTATTTCTTTTTCTTAATCAAATCTCTCGCATTTTCTTTGTCTCTATACAAATGCCCAGTCTTATTTTACACAGAGCATGAAAATATGAGGTAGAGAACTGGTAGAAAGAATTGAATGGGGAGTCACAATGGTGGTGCACATCATCAATTTCTCAGAGTCAAGAGGCAAGCAGAGACTTGAGTTCAAAGACAGCCTAGTCTATAAAGTGAGTTGCAGGACAGCCAGGAACTGTCTACACAGATAAACCCTGTCTTAGGGCGGGAAATGCCCTAATTAACCAAATCCCCTCAATATTAACAACTTGGCAAAATAAGATAGTAAGAAAAAGCAATCTGAGGAGCTTACCTTGAGAGCACAGAAGATGCAGGAGTCGCCCATGCATTTGTGAGTTGTAAGCTGCCTAAAGCTACGGCGGAAGATGTCCAAGTGCCACAAAACCTTCCAAAACAGGAATACCCATTAGCCTACAGATAGCCTTTAACTTTCAAGTCAAGAATTCAAGAAAACAGGGAATGACTGCAGGAAAAAGAATCTCCAAGATCTGGACAAAAGATCATTCTAACATATTAAAACAAATCTCAAAAAGCTAAAGCATCAGGACTGCAGAAAGCTCAGTGGTAAAAAACCTTCCAGAGACTGGTTCCCAGCACCCACAGCAGGTGGCTCACAGCAACCTATAACTCCAGCTCCAGGGGATCTGACACTCTCATCTGGGCCCCATGGGCACACTACATTCATGTGGACAAACACACATACATACATACATACACACATACAAACACACATAGAATTTTTAAGCAGATTAAAAAAAATCCAAAGGAGAAAAATGGAATATAATAACTAACAAGTGTTGTAATATGAGCGGCGGGGCTAGCTTATGCCCCGAAATAATTACATGGAAACTGTATTCTTTTAAATACTGTTTGGCCCATTAGTTCTAGCCTCTTATTGGTTAGCTCTTACATACTGATCTAGCCCATTTCTAATAATCTGTGTAGCCCACGAGATGGCTTACCAGGGAAGATCTTAACCTGCGGCTGTGTCAGGTGGGAGAATCATGGCGACTGACTGACTCGGGTTCTTTCTCCCAGCATTCTGTTCTGTCTACTCTGCCTACCTAAATTTCTGTCCTATCAGTCCAAGCAGTTTTCTTTATTAGTTAACCAATGAAAGCAGCAGATAAGATACAAGACCCACCTCCATCAAACAAGAATGACAAATGGACATATTTTGGGAAAAAAACATTCATTTGAATAGGAAATAGAAGTCACCCAATGAAAATATCCTATGATTAAAAATCAAATGTGATGTTGAAGAAGAAATTTAGGGATTACAAACTGTAGAACTAGGCAGGGAGATTAGAGTTATAGTTATAGTTTTCCTTAGTTATGATAAAAGATAAATTAGATAAGAAACTTTAGACGCACAAAGAAATATTGTAACTGTAATTCTTGCTTGATACCTGTTTTGTAATATGTAGTTTTACTATGTTAAAGTAAAAACTTTCCTTTTTATTTATACAGTAAACAGATGATGTGGGATTCCCCTCTGTATGCTGTGAATATGTCTTATTATCATTGGTTAATGAAGAAGCTGCTTTGACCTATGGCAGGGGAGAATATAACAAGGCAGGAAATCCAAGCAGAGATAGAGGAGGAAAGAAGGCTGAGTCAGGCAGACACCATATAGCTATGGAAGTAGAAAGACAGTCTCATGACGATACACAGAGTAATAAAAATGGGTTAATTTAAGATATATGAGATAAGAATACTCCTGAGCCATTGGCCAAACAGTGTTGTAATTAATATAGTTTCTGTGTGTTTAATTGGGACTGAATGGCTGCGAGATCAGGCAGAACAAAAACTTCGTTTACAAATTAGCCATGTGGCAGATCACTTTAACAAATGTAAGGCCTGTCAAGAGGATACAAAGTGATAGTGGGCTGCTGAGCATGTAACATGGGCCTCTAAGAGACAAGTGTGTCTCCATTAAGAAGCTACACTGAGCTGGGCATGGTGGATCTCTGAGTTCAATGCCAGCCTGGTCTACAGAGCTAGTTGTAGGACAACCAAGGCTACATAAAGAAACCCTGTCTCAAAAAACAGAAACAAAAAAGAAGCCACATTGACTTACACATCAAGTTCAAGGCCAATCAGAGCAACGCTGCAAGATCTAGTCTTTTTTAAAAAAAAATTAATATTACAGGGCTGAGGAGATGGCTCAGTAGGTAAGGGTGCTTTCTGTGAATGCAAGAGGACCTGAGTTCCAATCTCTAGCACCCAAATAATAGCTAGGCATGCTTTTCAACCTAGTGTTGAACTCTCTAGCTAACCAGCCTAACTAGAATGGCAAGCTTCTGGTCCACTAAGCAACCCTGTACATCTCACATATTAGGCGCAGAGTAGTAGAAAAAGACACACAACTTCTCCCCTTGCCTGTACATGCATGGGTGACTTTACAAATGGATAAGTGCACTTGTAACACACACACACACAAAAGATTTTCTAAAAAATTAAATGATGCTGGGGCTGTAGAGATGGCTCAGAAGTTAAGAGCTGACGGCTCTAGCAGAAGACCCACCCAAGTTCTGCTCTCACATCCACGTGACAGCTCAGATGCTTATAATGCCAGTCTCAAGGATCAAACATGCGCTTTTGGCCTCCATAGGCTTTGTACGCATGTGGTGCACATACATAAAAGCGGGTAGAAAAATCCATATACATAAAAACAAATGAATAAAAAAAATTAAATAACATAACTATAATGTCTTAGGAAGTTTCCCTTGCTAGAAAAATGACACAATACATCAGAAAAAGAAAAAAAAAACTGGACAGTGGTGGCAAACACCTTTAATCCTAGCACTTGGGAGGCAGAGACAGGCAGATCTCCGAGTTTGAGGCCAGCCTGGTCTACAGAGTGAGGACCAGGACAGACAGGGCTACACAGAGAAACCCTGTCTTCAAAAACCAAAATGGGGGTGGGAAGGGTCCTGTAAAGGTGGTAAAGATGCCTCAGCAGCTAAGAGCACTTACTGCTCTCCTGGAGGACAGTTTCAATTCTCAGCACTGACATGATGGCTCACAACCATCTATAGTGGGATCTGATGACTCTTTTGGTGTAATGTAACAGACATGTAAATAGAGCACTCATAAACATAAAATAAATAAATCTTAAAAAAAAAAAAAGAGGGGCTGAAGAGATGGCTTCACAGAGATATACATGCAGGCAACAATGAACACAAATTTTATACATGTGTGTTTACATATGTATGCATAAAGATGTATGTATGTATGTATAAAGCCATCATAGGGGCACACACCTTTAATTCCAGAACTTTAGAGGCAGAGAGAAGATCTCTATGAGTTAAAGACCACACTGGTCTACAAAGAGAGTTGTAGACCAACCAAGATACATAGTGAGACCCTGTCTTTAAAAGGTGAGGGCAGTGGTCTCTGGAGAAATGGCTCAGCGCTTAAAAGTACTAACTGCTTTTCCAGAGGACCCAGATTCAATTCCCAGCACCCACACGGCAGCTCACAACTTCTATAATTCAGGGATCTGATGACTCTGATCTCCAAGGGCATCTATACTCACATGTAGACACACGTACTCATCCAGAGTTTAAAATAATAAAAACCATCTTTTTGAAGAAAATAACAATAAAGCTGCCCTGAATACCAGACCAGGGCACACCTAGAGTTTCTGCTACTTGAAAGCTCCTTGGTGCTGGAGAGATGGCTCAGTGGGTCAGTTACTTGCTACATAAGCATGAGGACCAGAGTTCAAATCCCAGAACCCAGGAAAATGTTGGGTGTGTATGGCAGCCCTGCCTGTAATCTCAGTGCTGGGTAGGCAGAGAAGGAAGATCACAGAGAAAGCAGACACTCACACTTGCACCCACACTCATTACAACACAGACACATGACAAAAAACAGTCACTATTCTCAAGATACAACCTAAAATTTTTGAAACAGATTAATAATATTTATATCATTATTAATCTCCAATTTACAAATTAGGTAACTGACATTCTTTTCGAAATAAAGAACCTAGCCTAAGATCACAAATAAATGTAAAATATGATCTCAGGTTACGGAATTCAGAAAGAAACTGTCAGTTGTCACATTTGAAAGATTCTGCAAACACAACACTATCAGTTGTCACAAAGAAAAAGGTGGTCTTACCTGCAGGGCGCTGTTGAGGAAGCAGCTGTTCTGCCCTGGCTCATTGCTGAGACCTTTGCTGGGGGCAATAGACATTGAGCTTCGAGGTGCAAACATCCCTTGAACACTACCACAGCTTCCAGAAAAGTAATTTCTTTTCCAAGACATTATTATTCACATTAGTCCCAAAAGTATTAACATAAAAAAAAATAACCAAGAAGGAAGGAAGGGGGGGGGGGAAGGCTTTAAATCTTGGCAGGAAACTTGTGCCTGCTGAAGTCCTCAAAAGAAAAGAATCCAGAAGTTTGCTTATATTGTTTATATTGGAAGACTGATTTTGTATCTCCCGAGCATCACATATGTAAGCTCACAGAATTTGAGTTTCCTTTAGATCCAGGTGACAAAGTTGTCTTTCACTTGCTCCAGTGTTCAAAATGTAACTTAGCATATGACTAATGCTGAGAAGTCCTTAAGTATTGCTTCCTTCTATGCTTCTGAAACTGCTTCCCAAAGTCCTGGTGAAAAGATGGATGTCCTCAACTCAACAGTATGAGGGACCCAGCTAAGTAAGACAAGCTCTTCAGCCTTCTTTCTAAGGCTTCTCGTGGACTGAAGACTTCTCCAGCTGGGAGGAAAGGCAGGAACCCAACACACTCCTCTTCGCCCTCTTCTCAGTGCCTTGGCTCATCCTCCTCTATCAAACCCAAGCTCTCTAAACAACTGAACAGATACCACACAGCCAAGAAGTTTGTCTAAATTCTCAGTAGGATTTTGCTGATGTTCTTTGCTGCACCTTTGAAATAAGCTCCAAATTCTTCTGTCCTCTCTACCAGATCTTCAGAAAGTCTCTTCTCTTTTCTTCTGAGACCAGAATACCCAGCTGTGCCAGAGAGCTTTAACAGAAAAGAAAAAAATAAAAAACTTACGTCACTTCATGACTCTACTGGCTTTGCACTGTTCTGCCAAGATCAACGTTGCCTCACCTCTCAGTATAAACTTGAAACCTTGGCAAACAATGCCGAGAGAGAGAGGTGTGGGGGAAGAAGAAAGAGAGAGAGGGCGGGAGAAAGAGAATATAAAACAACAACAGAAAAGGGAGATGCTAAACCAAAGGGAAAAACAAGAGTAGGCAGCTTCACTTTCATAGGAAATTTCCCTGAAATTTTGAAGAAGTTGAACTGAACAAAACAAAAACAAACTTTCTGGAAAGAAGTTAACAAAGAATAAAAACAAAAAAATCAGTAAAAAATTAAGCACCCAGTGAGGAAATCTAAATCTTCTAAAGGTACCTTCTATGCACAGTGAAAATCTGCTTACAATCTGGGCTCCATCCTAGGAAATGAGACTCTATCCCAGAGAATCACTCATGGTCAGCAGACCACATGTCCTTAATATCCAGTCCAAAAGACTTAAGCCTTCTGCCTCATTTGTTCACTTGACTAGTTTTTAATTAATATTTTGTCAGAGGATCAGAAAAAGTAATTTGAGTTATAAATCACTTAATCCTCAAATTAAAGGGACTCAGAATGTGAAATCATCCACCTTCTTTTGGCTTCAACCAACTACAATGTCTGAGACAACAGTGAGTAATATCAAATCAAGCTCCATTCCTGGAAGGAAGTCATCTCATCTCTGGGTGTTTGTTTGTTTGAGAGACAGGGTCTGACCTGGAACTCTCTAGGTAGACCTGGCTGACCTCAAAACTCAGAGTGCTAGGATTAAATGTGTGTGTCAACCACATCCAGCACAACTTTCCAGAGTCAGTTCTCTCCTTCCACCAAGCAGGTTCCCAGGATCAACAAGTGCCTCCACCCACCTAGTCATCTCAATGACCCCATTTCTATTTTGAGATGGGGTCTTAATATATAGCTTTGGCTGGTCTAGAACTCACAACACAGTCCAGGATGATCTCAAACATCCAGCAATCATCCTTCTTGCCCAAGTGTTCAGATTATAGCTATCTACCACACCAGGCAAAAGTGCTAAATTTCAAATGTCTCCTCAAGCTTCTCTTTAATGTCAACTACACAGACGACTTAGAAATTAGAAATAGTACAGATGTTATAGCAGGTGCCATCATCTCATCTCCCGAGAAGCAAAGGCAGAGAGACTATGAGTCTGAGGCCAGCCTAGGCTAAATAAGAAGACTATTGCTGGGTGGTGGTGGTGCTTGTCTTTAATCCCAGCACTCAGGAGACAGAGGCAGGTGGATCTCTGTGAGTTTGAGACCAGCCTGGTCTTCAAGAGCTAGTTCCAGGACAGGCTCCAAAGCTACAGAAAAATCCTGTCGCAAAAAAACAAACAAAAATAACAAGACTATCTCAAAAGAGTAAATAAATCAAATAAAGTTTTAAAAGCTTAAAAAGTTTGGGTATGTTGATACATATCTTTAATCTCAATACTCAGGAGACAAAGGCAGGCATATCTGTGAGATGAAGGCCAGCCTGGTCCACATAGTGAGTTCCAGGCTACCTAGGGCTACATAGCAAGACCCTGCCTAAAACAAAAAACAAACAACAAAAACTAAAATGGGCTGGGGAGGTATGGCAATAAACATCTTAAGAAGTGGCGGCAAAGAGACCATGAGTTCCAGACCAGTGTGGTCTACATACCAAAACCCTTCTTCAATCATAAAAAAAAACAAAACTGAGCCCATGCCTTTAATTCCAGCACTCAAGAGGCAGAGGCAGGAGAATCTCTGAGTATGAGGCCAGCCTGGTCTATAGAGTGAGTTCCAGGACAGCCAGGGCTATACAGAGATAAACTCTGTCTTGAAAAACCAAAAAACAAAACAAAAATGCTTTGAGGTTTTAGTCATTGTCTGGAGAACATCTGACACTGACGTCAGTGTGAGAGGAAAAACTGAGGCACAAGAATATTGACTGGTTGCATAAAACTGTTACCCCCACCTTTCCACATTCCTAGACTGTTTATAACCTCACAATGCATGTGTCACAAAGTATTTAGTTATACATTGAATGATCATACTATTCACTGTCTTTATTCTTCTTTAGTTTTATATAGTATACATGTATCATATGACTATATAAAATAAAATATTGTCTAGTATCAAGCACATAATGACACTATGCTGATATTATTTAATCCTCACAATAGCCTACTAGGTAGATAGCAATAGCTCAACTTTATACTGGGGACTTAAAGTCATTACCTTGCCTAACTGGTATGTAGCAGAGCTGGAATTGGGTGGCTATAATATTGTCACTTAATTATGTATCTTATTCCAGTATCCCCAAAGCCCCCACCACAGTGATAGTCATAGGGAGGCATTCAACATATATTGCCTGGGGATTAATGTAGAACCAGGAGGAACTTACATGTTCTCCCAAAGACTGTAAGACCCTTACTTCTCTACGCATCCCTCGCATCCCTCGAGAACACCATACTCAAGGCCACTCAGCACCGTCCAACAAGCCACACAGCATTCCTTTAGCTCAACGGCTGTGAAGCACTAATAAGCCCCAAGCCTCCAGTTGGCTCATAGCACAAGGGACTTGGCAGGGAGGTGGGGTTTTCAGTATCGCCTGCCCCGTGACACATACCTGAGCACAGAGACCAAAGGAAGAAAGACAGTGGCAGAAGAGGACTCACAAGCTCTGAATGGCAGCATTATGTGAGGACAGTAGTAAGTTTTTACACTACTTAGGTATGTCAGAAACCAAAAGTAACAGAGAAAAAGAACAAGGATAAGAAAGGCAGCAAAAATGGTGTAGGCGAACACTGATGACAAAAATATTCCACTTAAAATGAAATGTTTCATTCTAAGTCTAACATTAAGTAGCACAATGAGGATAGTGTCATTACTGAAGACACATGAGGAAATGGTATCTCTAGCTACATGGCTAGAGAAAAGATTACCTTTTAAGCAATATTGAACTATAATATAAAATAACAATGTCTGCCACTTACTCTCAAATGGTACAGAAAGTAGGAAATATGTACACACACACACACACACACACAAGGAATAGACACATAAAACAAATATAGTCAAATATAGTACAATGTTAACAATAGGTGACCCTCCCTGAAGAGTATGAGAATGCCAGGCTGGGGAAACACTTCAGAGGGCAGTATCTACCTAGCATGCATAAGACCCTGGGATCAATCCCTAGCACTTGGAAAGTAGAGGCAGAAAAATCATAAAGGTCATCCTTAACTACATATAAAATTGTATTTAAACAAAAAAGTGGAGATTTATCTTATTATTTCTTGTAACTTCTCTGTAAACTTTATATTTATATTTATATAAGAGGGGCTGGCAATCTCAAAGTTAGAGAAAAAAGAAAAAGACAGTTACAACAAATATACATAAGAAGATCTAGGGTATGGCTGAGTAGGTAAAGTGCTTGCAACAAAAGCATGAGGGCCTGAGTTTGGTCCCTGGCACCCAGACAAAAGCCAGATGTGCTTATAACCCCAGACCTGGGACAGGAAATACAAGAATATCCCTAGCTCAAAAAATAGGTAGAAGCCAGGCGGTGGTGGTGCACGCCTTTAATCCCAGCACTCGGGAGGCAGAGGCAGGCGGATCTCTGTGAGTTCGAGGCCAGCCTGGTCTACAAGAGCTAGTTCTGGGACGGGCACCAAAGCTACAGAGAAACCCTGTCTCGAAAAAAAAAAAAAAAAAAAGTAGAAAAGCAACTGAGGATGGCTCGTGTGCAAGATCCTGCCTTGAATTCTAAGCACCAGAAAAAAAATATGTAAGTATAGTAGAAAAAATATGTAAGTATAGTATAGAAGGAACCAATGCAGTGAACTATACAAAGAAGACAGAAGACAATGCTCTATTTCTACACTTTTGCTCGTATGTTTAATTCCAAGCAGATTATCTGGGACAGGATCCTGAGCTTCATTTTCTGAGTCTGTAAAATAGACACAGTATCTATTTCACTAAATTATTGACAGTGAATGAAATAGTATGAAAATACTAGTAAATCTGAAAATGAACAAATAATTCAGTGAATTAATTATTATATAATTAATAATCATACATATATTAATTAATTGTGATACCTAAAAGCAAAAAGCCAAAGATTAGAAGAAAATACTTGCAAACGACATAATGGAAAATAGCATTTAACATGTACATGTTATATAGCATATGTAGATGGTCTATATAATCTATGTATATACATGTATCCAAGGAGAGAGGATGAGAAAAAGAGGAGACAAAGACTAGTACTCTCTTTCTAGTCTCCTAACATCATCCTCCTTTGTGCTCAATACACTGAAACTTATATCATGACATCCACATTCTACCCTGGTAGGCGATAGAGGTTCTTGTGCTCACAGATAAACATGAGGGGAACCAGAAATGTTAAACAGACAAGGTTGTTTGTTCTTTCAAATGAATGTATGCATAGTCTGCTAACTCCAGAAGGCTGGGAGCTGACATGGTTAATAGCCTCGTGAATTCAGTGTTCGTTGTGGATGAAATGACACCAAATCCTCCACCAGACTTATTGAGAGCTTGTCAATCTTTATAATCTATCCTTATGGAAGGTGTCACTTGTAGTCAATCTATAGAACAAACTTTATGGAACATGTCACATGAACTTTACAAAGAGCGTTGGTGTAGTCATGTCTTAAGCTTTATTGTGAACATGGGACTGATTACCACCAGGTAAGTTTTCACAAAATTATGTTGTGTTTAAATATGCCTAAAATGAGCTACTCAAGGTCAGAATCCTGAAGTTTGATGCAGCACTGGTTACTTGGCCATGTTAAACCAAACTGCCTTCTTGTCTCTCACAGATATTTACTCTGCTGGCCATAATGGACACAGAGACACCCCTACACTCCCACACACTCTTTCATATTAGTTACTTATGAACACAGATTGCAGTATGTGGAATTTCTTATTCTATAG